CAGGGCCACACAAGCATCTGCCATTTCCTGCCAGCACTGACTCTCCAACCTTTCCTGCCAAATTTTCTGAGTGTGGGTGAGGAAAATCACTTGGAAGGGCAGCCATCTGGTCTCTGTCCTGTGGCCAGGTGTGTTTTCTCTGGGTGGGGGAGGCCGGCTGCCATTTTCATTTGGTCCAGTGGGCAGAGCTTGGGAAGTTTCTCCTCACCGTTTGGTTTAAACCACTTTTATCAGTATAGTTATCAGCATTCTTCTTGGTAAAGAGTTGTTTTTTTCACTCACATCTGGGCATATTTGGTCTCTCCATATATATTGGAGAAAACAGGGGTATTGAATTCAAGGGAGGAGACTTCTGTATGAGGTCTCTGCCCCTCCGAATTGTCTCAAACTGAGTCACGCTCCAGACAGTGACTCTTCACATCCATCAGAACCTCACCTCCTGCATGGCATTTGCCCACCACACACAGTTAATCAGGGTCCAGAGTCTGCTTTTAATCTCATCTCTTCCACAATTCAGACTCATTCAGCCTTACTTGTCGCTGTTAAAGTCGGGATGGGCAGAGTGACGTAGAATCTTCTTCCAAAGTAGGGACAGGATTACAAGAAGGCTGTAATCACTTTATTGTAACAGGTTGCAAACATTTATACTTTTCACATATCACACATGTCAACTTTCTATTGCTGTCTTCCATGTAAACATACATCAGGCTATACACGTCATCCTGCTATTGGTACTTTCATGTATACACACACCAGGATTGGTTGCAAACTAGTAAACGTAGCTTTTGTCGAGTCATCCTGACTTGCAGAAAGTACAGGAAGTCCATTTCTGTCTTCCATCTTCTTCCTGTCTGAAAGTTGCCCACATTCTTCTGCATGCTGTGTTGTCCTCCTTTCAGGGGTATACTGTAATCTGGTTTATGTCCACTGCTTCGTCGATAAATGCCAGGCTGCTGACAGGCTTGCTGTCAATCCCGACACTTACTGAGCTGTAATTAAGAGGTTCCTTTATTCAGGTATTTAGCATAACCTCTGGTTTACTCTTCATTCAGCAACATGAAGCCAAAGACTACATGCATCTAAAAGAAACACATTGTAAAGCACACATTGTATTAATGAACTGCCCTTCTGTGCTTATCTTATAAACACCTAGTAAGTGTGTAATAACCACTTTAATCATAACAAAGGTATTCATGGAAGACAAGCTCAGCCGTTATTCCAGGTTATCCATTGAAAATGATGTATTTGCATGTTTCTCATTTTGCACATCCGACTCTATCCAATGAAAAAACATCTTTTGTGGATATCTGTTTAACTTTTGATGGAATGCATATTTTCTGCTTGTCAGTCTAGTACCTGTTTGTCAGCCATACTCTCAAGTTTCTCATTACTTCAGAAAGGTATTACAATAATTAGACTTCATATTCTCTGTACTTTTCATATTTTTTCTATATTTTATATGTATGTCATACTGAAATTGTGCAGTCTCGAGACTATGCTTCTAACATTACTTTGCCTGAACTATTTGTAACTAATTTTTTTACAGATTTAGCAGATTGGTTTTCCTTTATCAATCTAAATATGCCTTCAGATAGCTGTTTTACTGTCTTGTCATGTATTATTTTGCCTTTATCTCTGTTTATGAGAAGATGTAAAAAACATGAAGAAATACACACTGCAGATTGTTCAAATTAATAAATCCAGTTGAAAGTCAAAGTGATCAATTCTATAACCCAAGACCATTCTTATTATATGAAGCAGAATGTTATTATTTTCACAGCATTAAAATTGTAAATTTTTTTATGTCAAGCATTTTCCAAATCCATGTTTGTAGACTTGAGTCTTCATTCTGCCAGTGCTCTATATTTAAACAAACTCTGCAATGAGTCTCTAAAATCGTGCTATTAAAAACAAACAAACAAAATAATCCAACATTTATTCTTATTTGTTTCCAGAATGCAGGGACTACCGGGCTTCTCAGATGATACCTTGAATCAAAAGCAATCTGAATGTGTTCAGAATAACCCATTTATTAAATTGACAGAACAGTTTGAAGTGCAGATTGGATTATTTGAAATACTCTTACAAAATTATGAAAGGAGGGGTTAATACCTGTTCTCAACTGAATTCTAAAAGAGAAAAATATGGTTCACAGAGCTTGTTAGCCAGATCTGTAAAAATATATGTCAATACACTCTGAAATGATTAGATGTCCTTCACTGCACGTAACAATAAGATCCCTAGGCTACAGTTGCAGCATGAGCTTAACTCAGAACTCAAGGCTGTACCCTAAAGCTCATCAACAGAGAAACATACTGCAGAGTATTTCAGTAAGAAACAGCCTTAAAATGCCAGCATGCCTATCCACCTTTGAACCAGCATTTTATAGTGGAGTTGTCTGGTTACATCACAGAAACAATAACCAAAGAGGATTACAGCACTGTAGGGGCTAAATCACATCCCTATTTGGTGTCTTCAAGCGCTACATGGCACTGGATGTTGGTGTTCCCTCAGATAGGGTTTCTCCAGTGTATCTTATGCTTCTTCACTTCTATTGTACCTATCCTACATAAAAGGTGACAATTGCCTATTGTATACATCCCTCTGGTGAACATGGTGTGCAGACAGAGTGAAGAAGCTTTTACAGTGTCTGAAAGGCAGGTAAAATGAACATCTTGGAGACTAGACCTCCCTTTTCAATGAGCATGGCCATCATGCCCACACAGAGTCCCACTGATTTTTTCAGGCACAGTTGCCTTCATCCCCTCCACCCCCAGAACAAGTTTTACCTCTTAACGTCTCATTAGGCAAATCAGTGCATAATAACTAGTACTATTGTTATTATTAAAATTCAGGGAATAAAATTGGTAAAAGCCAATAGAGGAATTTTGTTTAATTCTAGAAAGTTGTGCACTTAAATATTTACTACAAGTAAATGCGCTAAGTGGAAATTTGCCCCAAATATTTTTTCCTTCTTGGTTAGCTCGTACTGTGTCTGTCTCAGCATATGAGAGCTTATCCAGTGAATATATAGTACTAAATCTCTTTTGCAAGGAAGTTAAATACTGTCCTTGGCTTCCTTGCTCCACTACACCTGTTTTGATCCTTCCTGAAAAGACTAACCATCTCTACTGTCTTCAGGAGATCAAAATTGCAACCCAAGATACTAAACATCAGGCAGTCAATTAAATAGCAAATGTGTATCTTAAAATGTTGACTAGACAGGTTCTCTTGAGCTAAATTAGTAATTAATTAAGCCAAAATTCAGCTATTTTTTCCCTTAGGACACAAAAGCACTTGGACAAACACACAAGAAGCTCTGTCAAAAGGACTACCATTGGAAACATAAGCTATGTTGCATTCAGAGAGGGACAAGTATTTCAGGACCAATTGCTCCCTCTCTCTCTCTCTTTCCATACTTTCCCCCACCCAATCAGAAAATCAACCAGGCATCATCTTTTTTTTTTTTGCAAAAATTAAGAAAAAAAGCTCTGTGAACACTCTCAAGTGGAATGGGAATGAGAAAAGATAAAGAAGACCTTGACACTTTTTTCATTATTAAGTTCAACGAGGTTAAAAAACTTACAAACATACTAACAAGCAGCATTATATACAAAAATATATAATATTATATATATTTTAATTTTATATATATATTATATATATATTATATTACCTAAGAATTATACAGCCATTTCTTAGTCCACAAACTGTAATAGCTCAGTTTTTCAAGTACTATATTATAGTGCAGCAACAAGGTCTGGGAATTAAAATCTTTGTATGATAGATTTCCACAGATGCCCTAAATCAAACTAGCACTGCAAATATTCAGGTTTTATACAGGCAAAAGGTTTACTTTTATACCTCTAGCTTTCTGGAAGGTGGTTGTAGCTCCTCCTACAAACCACCTGACCTAACTGGACACATTTTTGGACAAGCCAAATGCAGTGTTGTCAATACTTCCATGAATTTCTATTTCTCTTACAGCCCAAAATTTCTGTAGCAGTCTGAAAATCTCCACTTTTTGCCTAAAAGAACTTCCAATCCCTGTGGGTTATCCAGAATAGACTAAATGTGACCAACACAACATAGCATCTTTAAAAGCTAAGTACACAGACCCAAAGGAATATGTAGCCTAAAAACATCATTATCATTAGAACAACTTCACCTTCTGTCAAAGTACCACGAGCTAGAATTGCCTTGAAGTATGAGTTCTTTTCTGCCTGAGGCTCTCATTCTTCCCTTCAGTCTCTCCATTTCTCAGATGCTACTTTTGCAAGACATACTGGCAATGACAGCTGAGCAGCACACCATTAGAACAACCTCATCAGTTTTGCTATGAATCGGTTCAGTCTTTGAGAGAAGCATACTGCATACAAGTGCATCTGTCTGAAGCACATGAAAAAACCATGGAGTTCCTAGTACTTTATGCCAATGTTAATGTCTTACAACCACCTATGAGTCTCCAGCTCCCCTTCATGCGGTGCTCTTTTATACAGTTTGCAGGGCATCACATTGACCATTAATCAGCAGTAAAAACTGGAGCCTGCCTCAGAAGGAAGGTAAGTGTGCCCAGGTTTTCTCCTCAGTCCTGTACTGTTTCCTAAACCTCTCTTTTCAGTGTCCTCACCCATTGGACTGGTAATCATTAAGAACGACGAAAAGTTCAAAAAACTACTTACTGTTGGTGAAGAAATATGAGAATCCAGATTATTTTACCCCAAATCTGGATGTTGTATTAATTTTTTTTTTTAACCCCAGAACCAACTCTTCCTGTCTGCATTTCAGAGTAGGCATTTCAAAGGAAGGACTGAGGCTTAAGTCAAAACTATGCATGGGATGTCCCAGGCATCTGGTTAGAAATGAAAGAGCAAACCCATTTAAGTAGAAGTGTGGACATTTGGGAGGGGGAGCAGGCTTGCAATCTGCACTCCCTCCCCCAGACCACTGCTGCTGACCCCACGGGAGCCAGGCCTCTGGGGCTGTGCCTGTTGCCTTACCCTAGAGGTAGGCTCCATTCTCCAGGGCAGATGAATGGTATGTGTGGCATCACCAGCACAAGGCATGCTGGGGCACCACATGGAGGGAAGCTGGCAACTGCGTGTAGCTGCTCTTGAAGAACCTGGAAATAAGGGGGAAAAATACAGACTAAAACAAAAAAATGTACAGAAACAGGCTTCTCTTCTGTTTGCATTGGGGTGCTTGCAAACAACCAGTTCTTTTGTGAGTTTGCTACTGTTTTACTGTATTAATAAACCTTTAACAAAGTTTGAGCTCCTCCTCTTCCCATCAAGAATTTTCAAAAACCTAAACCCAACCAGATGCTCAAAGTTTGTTAGGATTAAAATGAAACCCAAGCACAGTGCAGAAAGCAACCTCTCAAGGGATGGAAAGTACGAGAAAGTCTGAACATAACAAACAAAAATATTAATGTTTCCTTATTCTTTCCTAATTGCCTAGTCTGCTCTAGAGAAAGCTAAGTGATTGAAGAGTACTTAACAAACAGCAGTCCTCTTTGAGTGGCACGCAGTGCAAGTTAAACCCTGTCAGCTCTTAAGCTAAGACTTTCTAGAACAGATCCAGAGCATTTGGATCCAAAGGGGTGTTATTCGTTTTTTGTGTAACCTGGGGAGCTCTTGGCCCCATGAGACCATAGGGTGCCTGCCTGAGAGGGTTAAACGGGGTCACTGATTTAATGTGGATTCCCAACCCAACTTGGGTCCTTTCGCAGGATTATTAAGGCAGGAGGAAAGGCAGAAGGAAGCGCAGGAGAAGAGAGGGTGGGCCACGGCTCCGTCTGCAACGCATCCCGCTCCGGGCGACCCCGCACCGGCTCTGCATCTCCGTCCCTCCCCGGCCCATGCCCCGGCTTGCGCCGGGAAAAGTCCTCTGGACATCGTCACTCTCCATCGGCCAACTCCACCCCAGGCACGTCCCGGCGCAGCCTGCCCGGCTCCCCCGCCACGGGGGCAAGGGACAGGGTCCCTCCGTTTGGCCGCGCTCCTGGGGCAGCCCCCCTCGGTCGGCCCCCTCGGGGCTGCCGTGCCGCCCGGCCCCCGCCAGCACTCACCATATTACAGATGGAGGCGATGTTTCTGACAGTCATTAGTCTAAAGGTTGCAGCGATCCCACACCGCCATCTTTATAAGGTGAAAACAGCCCCGCTCATGGTGGGAAGAGCGCAGGAAGGGATAGGGGGCGGCGGCGGCTCCTGCTCCGGGGCTGGGTAAAACCAAGAGGAGGGGACTGCACAGGCACCCTTTGTGCCCGCAGAGCAGTGAGAAGGACGGACCTTCCCGGCCTCCCTCCCCCGGGCGGGTCACCGGGAGCTTCAGCAACGCGGGGAGAGCGGCCGCATCTCCGCTCCTTCCGCCTCTGCCTCTCGCACGGTCCGCAGGGCCCCGGGCTCCCGCTGGAGCGCTCAGCCGCGTCTCTGCGCCAGCCAGCACCGCGCTAATCTCTCCCTTCCTCCTCCTCCTCCTCTTTCTCCCCTCCTGGCGGCCGCCGCTGCCGCTCGCCGCTCCATCGCAGCGCCGCGCCCGCTGATCGGCTCTGACAGCGCCGGGGAAGGAAGGGAAGGGAAGGGAAGCCGCTGCCGCTCGCCGCTCCATCGCAGCGCCGCGCCCGCTGATCGGCTCTGACAGCGCCGGGGAAGGAAGGGAAGGGAAGGGAAGTGAAGGTCAGAGGCAGTGCCCGGCGCGGGGCACCCCCGGCGGGGCGGCCGCCGCCGCAGCCAATGTGCTGCGGGGCCGAGGGGGCGCGGGGGGGGCTGCGCCTGCCGCCCCTCCGCACGGGCGCTCCGAGGGGCTCCTGGTGCCTCAGTCGCCGGGCCTGGAATGGCCACGAGGCTGCAAAACTCGGGCCTCAATGCGTACAAAATAATACCTGCAGGTAGTAGGGCGAAGGACAGGAAGGCAGAGTGCAGGCTGGAGGACATGAATGTGTGGCAGTGACGACAGCATTGTGCTTTGGGACATGCTCTCTCCACCTGATTAGAGTTACACAGGAGCCCAAGCACTTGCAAACCCCAGAACAGTAGGCTGGAATGTAATTTACTGCCCACAGTTGTTGCTTTGTATTGCCATTCATGCAGATAACATTTATCTTCACAAATGCTGCTTTGGGACCGTGTCCACACCACATGTCCTAGTGCTCACTCACAAGTTCACAACATATGGCACCGTTAATGCAATAATCTCAGTTTCCCTTCAAACACAAGCAAGTCGAGGTCCATGTCTTTCTCCAAGGTAGAGCAGAATGAATGTATTAAGTTTACACACAGGATAATAGGCACAAGGTTGTTAAATAGCTAACTTGAGGTCACACAGTAAATCTCTGAGAGAAGCAAGAACGGAGTTCAGCTAGGGGAATCCTCATCTTAGAATTCCCCTTTTCCTTAGCAATTATTGCTGTTTTCAGCAGAAGCTTAAGGCCTGTTTATTGTTCCTCTGCTATGCTGAGGTAATCACTCAAATGAAGAGAGAGAACTGCTAATGTTTCTACAGGCATCTCTGCTCTTAACAACACCTGAAGTATGGCATGCTTATGCTTGGCTATACTTTTTACTACATGATGAATATAATAACTTCAGCTTATAAGAGCTTTGCATCACAGGCTTTATTTACAGGAAACCTTCTGGAGTCAGTAATTGTATTTTTATTTCAAGAGAAGGTCTTACTAATTAGAAGATTGCTAATAAAAATCTGGCATCAGCAGTAGCATCTAAAGATAAATTCCTGCCCTAGAATAACTTTAGGTAAGTGGCCCCAATCCAGCTCCTTGTAGACAAGTGCCTACTTTATAGAAATGGTATCAAATTTGGCATTAGTTGGTCTCCTGTTGACAGCTTCAGCAAAGAAACCCAAAATACAGTCAGTTGTCATGGAGAGAGAACTTTCTTTCCTCAGTCAGTTGGATTAGTTACATTAAATCACTACAGACATTTGAAATACAGAATAGAGAAAGATTTTCAGACTTAACAGAGTGAAGTCATCAGGATCACTAAACTGCTACATAAATCCACAAATCACTACACAAAAGAGCCATCAAATAACATAACGCTGAGAAAAAAGCCAATCTTTGGTATAATCTGTTAAATTAATAATTTTACATTATATGTGTGTTTGATCCCAAGTGTTTAATTTGCTTAAAGTCAGAGGGTTGGATTACATGTAATATGACAGGTTTTCTCAGCATAGCTGTGGGAAATGGAAGTTACGCTGAAGTGTCACTTCAGGACTGGTCACCTTTGGCCTCAGTTCTGAAGCAGTCAAGGCTTGATCAGTCTCCAGTGCATTTCTAAATAGCCTGCAGAGATTGGACAGTACTGCACTGTACCTGGTTTTTAAACTGTGATTCCTTTTATTTCTGAAGCCTAATCATGTATTCTTTGCTGCAGCCAATTTATTCCAATTTACTGTAGAGAATCACACTTGCTCTCAGTGGAAAGTTATGGAGCAAATGAGTGGGTTCGAAAGGTGATTAAAAATTTAAATGAAACAAAATGCAGTGTCTAATAAAGCCATTTGCGTCACATGTATTTAAAGGTCAAGGATATTATTTCCATAATACGAACACGAGAGAAATCATACAAAGTAAGAAAAAAAAGTAAGGAAAAGGTGATATTCTTATAATTCTGCTTTCTGACTGATGCCAATTACTTGACTTCAGACTAAATTTTCAGGTCGTTTCTGTTTGTTAAAGCTTTCTTTTTTTTTTTTAACATGAAATTAAACTGCTACTAGTTAAGCAGTACTGGTTGTTGAAGGAAATATTTGTAAACACACACATCATTCTGTGAAGAATTCAGTATTGTTTTCCTTAATGGTAATATAAATACTTTAATTTAAAGGGGGACACATTTAATGTCTTATTTCTTAGGATTAATAATAAAAATAGGAAATGATATATGAGTGTTTATGTGTCAGTTTGACAAGAGTTTGGGACTGTCTTTTTTGTTCTTCAGTCACATATCAAACCAGGAAAGAAGAAAGAAACATTCAGGCTTGAAATGGACTGGTGTGTGTTTTTGTTTTCTTCTGCTGTTGTAATTTCCAAAACTAGAAACTTTATTTCTGTAGCTTTTTGAAGATAAAAAAAGTGCTAAGCAATGCAACAAATGGTACTTACAAACGTTATAGGAACTGCATGAATAAAGAACAGTGCACAATTGTTTCCACTCTAAAGCATTGCACTGTATCTTCATAACAAACAACTAACCCTGTGTTTCTTCCGAGTGTTAGACAAAGAGAAGGAAAACAAAGGACTATTTATAACCTAAGAGTGGTTATATAATTTCTGTTGAAAGGTAAAAAAAAATTCTTCTGCATTTAATTTTAGATCCATCTTGGTCTCATCTGGCTATATACTTCAGCATTTTTATTTTGCTACATAGAATAAGAATCTACTGTAAATATCCTCTTTGGCTAGCAGAGGCATGGACTTCCATAATATTTTCCATCTGACTTTCTCAGAGGACTTTGCAAGCATTCACTCAAACTTGTCAAAATATTTGATGGCATGTTAATATTAGCTTCCTTTACAAAGCAAAAAAACAGGAAGCAAAAATTTAGTGACTTGTCCAAAGTTACACTGCAAAGTTGGTAACAAATCTGGGACTAGAATATCTGCTCACTCTGTACTACAAAGAGGATATTGCATTTCCTCTCCAAAAATCTTGAAAAATTCCACAGAGGGTTCACTGATGTTTTTCTTGTAATAAGCTCAGTTCCAGAAATGGGTAATCATCAGTTGTTTTGCTGAACAAGTGTTTGGAACAGAATCAAACTTAGGATATATTTCCAGCCAATTAAAAGACCATTTCAATTGAAAAGGCAGTTAAAACAACACTAAGGTTTTCTGCAAGATTGGAAAATATATAATAAGCATTAAAAGATAATTCAAATATCAGAAATACTTTCAGTGCTGACAATGTAGCTTTAGAATTTTAAAATTTTTTTTAATATATATTTTGTATCTCATTTTAAATTATGTTCTACTAAAAATAGCAATATATCTTTAATAGGATGGCAAATATGTAGACACAAGCACGAGGGAGGATTTTCCATGAAGCTTGGCCCCCACTGCAGAACAGACTGGGAGCTTTAGTACTTGCAGTCCATGGATTGAGTCTGTAGTGCATGGCTTGTAGCAGGTCCATGGAAACTACTCCATTTGCACCTGAAATTCTAAAGGTAAGAGGGAGCTGTAGTCCATGAAAAATTCATGGAAATCCACAGAAGATGTGGGGAGTCTACAACCAAAAAAGCAACACAACTTTGGAATCACTATTCTTCTTTAAGACTGTTATCTTCGAAGCAATCTCTAACCAATATTTTCAAATTATCTGAGAAAATATTGCTCTTAATTGAAAATACTGTAAAGCTTCATATTTTGGTGACAGCATGACTTGTTGGGATTCTAAAGATAAAGCACAGCAAATAAAACTTTGCATTAAATTGATCTCTGAATCTTGCTTATCTTTTTTGCTAGTGAAAACATTATACTAGTTGACAAATCCACATCTGCCTCTTGCTAGGACAGTAATTTACTCTACATAGAGGGTTTAGAAAAGGACAGACAGGTCAGATAGCCTCTGCATTCCTCCTCTTGAAGTTATGCCACTATCAGACACAAAAGTAAGCTTCATGGAACCAGAGAGAAGGCAAACAATGCAAAGTTTGTATGGGGAAGACAGAAGAAAGCTTGTACAGGGCAAGAAAAAGGTGTAGGATTACGTGAATGATTAAAATGCTCACCTGGCATGGATACTGATCACTGGTTTGCTGTGCTAACAGAAGTGTCAGTTTACATTCTGTACTGGAAAAGAAGAAACTAAACTTGACATAAATCCCACTGACACAAATGGTAAAAATTTAAAGGTTGAATACCATTTTTTTTTTTTGCTACATTACAAAAAAGTACTAATCTGATTCAGGTATCTGACTGTACAAAATGGTCGTTGCAGAGAACCCCACTTGAAACAACCTTGAACTATGTGTCTCACAAATTCATCTCCAGAGACTGATTTACCTGGAGTCCTGAGACAACTTTTGAATCCTGACCTCCCGACAATAAAGGGCACAGGGACTACAACTGCAACAATGTTTCTAGTATCAAGAATTAGACAGAAGTAACTAGACGCTGTAAGAAACAATTTCTAGAACCATCCCTTGGTTGCAACTATGTGACTGTTTGTTTCAGGATGAATCATGTTGGTTTAGATCTGCTGAGGGTAGTTTAAATGCAGGGTCCGGATTAAAGATAGTGGGCCGTCTGTTACTTTCTTTCCACACACTTAGAGGAGCTGTGCTGATAGGAACTCTGTGTGAGCCACGACATCTTGGTTTCTCACCAAGACAGGAATCTATGAATTATCATCAATATATACACCTTTTCCAGCAATACATACACTTTTTTGTGAAGCAGGGACTTTCATTCAATTTGGTTTGGACAAGGCTCTGAGGCACACAGTGTGATTCTTGGGGTGTTCTGCGCAAGGTCAGGGGTTGGACTTGATGATCCTGATGGGTCCTTTCCAATTCAGTATATTCTATCATTCTATATGAAGTCTCTGTGTTACAAATTACTAATTCCCAGTTCATGCTCATCTGCTCATACTCACCCCAAGCCCTCTCAGCAGCATCCCCAGCCAGGCAGCCCATTTTAGCTGGGGCAGAGCAGCAGTCCTCTGCACCCACGCTGAGCGCTGCCTTGCAGGACAGGCCTGGTGCCACCGTGTCACCCGTGACCTGCAGCCCCGGAGAGAGCTGCTTCTGCTCTGACAGGGGCATTAGCGAGGCTCGAGGCTTTACCTCGCCATCCTCACAGACAGCTCTTAAGCCTCCTAAGCAGGGCTTAGACGGGAGTTTAGACAGAGATCAGCCGTATTTATTGCCTCAAAACCGCTACACAGCTGCTACTTCTCACCGAACACGCTTTTGTTTTCCTGTGCTAAGAGACCTCCGAGCACGCAGAGCTCGGCCCGGGCAGGGGCGGACGATCACGTCCCGACGAAAGCCCCGTTATGACCCGTTAGGGCTTCGCCCGACTGAGCGCCGTGGGGAGCGCGGCTGAGCGACCGGAGCGCTCCTCGCAGAGGCGGAAGCGGGCGGCCCCCTCACCCCGCCCCCGCGGGGCGCTCTGCCCTCGGGGGCTCCGAGCTGCGGCTTCACCGGCGCCGCCCCGCGGCGCGCGGGGTCACGCGCGTCGGCCCCGCCAATAGACCGCGGAGGTGTGCGCCGCGCGGGGTCTCGCGGGAGCGCGGGGCGATATTTAAGGCCACGTGGGGAGCGGCGCTTTCTCTTTCCGTGCAGGCCTCCGGCGCGGTAAGGCCGCGATGGCCGCTCGCTCCGCAAGGACGGGCTGGGGGAGGGGAGCAGGCGGGTGCGGGACCTGCACCACCTTCCCTTCACATCTTGCCCTCTCGGAGCTTGGCAGTGCTCCGGCGAGTCAACACAGGGGGATAGAGCAGCTCTCCCTCACAAAAACCCAGTGCGGAGCCCTCCTCTCCGCCCTGCATCCTGTCGTGAGGCACAAGCGGCCCCTCTCTCCCTCTCCGCGGCCCCCTCACTGTCCCAGGCTGACGCTTCTCTCCCTCCGCAGTGTGTCCCGAGGTACCGGCGAGTCCTTACAATGTCCCCGGCGGGCAGGAGGCCGGGCGCGGCGGATCTGGGCCCGGGGAAGCGCTGGAGGTGTGTGGCCACGCATTTGGACGCCCATGGGTGAGCGGCACACGGACCTCATCCGCTCTCCTGCAGCCTCGGGTTGGTTAGAAAAGGCTTCTGACCTCAATAGGCTTTATATCCCGACGCTTTTTAAAGACAAACTTATTTATGGGGATGCTGCCCTGTATCTCTGAGACAAGAAAGTGTTTGTGTGCATTTGCACCCTTCTGTTCTTTGAATTGCAGGTATTGAGCTGCACAAACCCTGAATCTGAATTCACTGGAGTGGTTTTGTATTTTTATAGGGTGCATCAAGAATATTACACTTAGACTCTGCAGTGTTTAGAGTATTAAATGCTGTAGGCACTTAGACTCTAATGATAATGGCTTCAAACAAAGAAGTCCCTGATTGCTTGGGCTTTCTTTCCAGTCTTCTAGTGCATCTGTAACAGTGTCTTTTGATACCTCTTGGTTGAGCTCTGCGTATAACTTGTTACAAGCTGTGTATATATTTGTAAGTAGACACAGGGTAGCAATGAATTTGCTGTTGAAGACAGTCTACTCTGGACATTTATAGCCTCGGGGTAGTGTCAGCACAAAAAGGAATTTGGGCTTAATAAATTTTCCATTGTTTCTGATTAGTAGTATATTTTAAAAGATATTAAAAATACATTTTATGTATTTTGAACAGGCTAATGAAAACAACTTGGCAGATTAAAAAACTGATTACGTTTGATTTGATAATAAGCTTCATGTAAACAACCTCTGCAACTTGGTAAAAAGTTACTGTAAAAGTCTAACCCAACATAGTAGCAACTCCGTATAATGTGGCTTTGAGAAAGTGTAATTAAACACTAATAATTTTACTATAATCTTATTAAGTTTTTTTGTGTGTTGTTTAGAGGCCCGACTTAGCAACGTCATGCAAGAAATATTCTAGACATGGATAATCAGACCTAAATGTGAAGCAATGCTCAGGGCTTCTTAGGAATAAATAATACCTTCTACTGGAAGGTAAGTGTGCTCTAGTTTAATGACAATTGCAGATAATTTTAAATCTTGCTCTTTGATAATTCACAAATTTCAAGCAAATTGTATTATCTCTTTTGAGTAAATGGTAAATTCAGATCATCTTAGTTAATAAGAAACCAATATAATATAGTGTAATCTACTCCCCTTTTATGCTTTGCCCTCTTAAGTCTGGCAGTGTCTTAAGTGGCCAACACAGAGGGGTATAACAGTTCTCCTGCAAACCCAGAGGTGAGGTTGAAACCCTTCTTTGGATCATGCTTGGGAGGAACACATTTATGAAACTACTAAACTTCATGAAGCTACTAAATCAACTTTATTAATAGCTTGTAGAAAGATTTTGAAATGTATTTGGTTATATTATCTGAGTCTTAATATCAATTTTGTGTAAATCTTTTTCAGGTTTCTCAATCTGTTTCTTTGTGAACCTATGCAATGAATGTCTTGAATGAAGAGTTTCTTGTAAATTGTTTGGTCTCCAGGTATGTAATGTGAAAAGGATTATCAGATGTTAGTGAATGCATTGCCTTCTATAGCTAAAGGAGTTTTAATTTATTCCTCACTGGAAAACAAAACAAAATAGTTTGAACTAATGGAAAACCTGTGTGGTAACTGTTAAAACTTTATATAGATTTAGCCAATCTAAATAGCAAAAAAATCTAAGGAAAGCTTTGGGTAGTTATTGGATGTATTTATTCTAATAAGGCTGGTCCTCTGGAACGGAATCCGTACTAATGGTATGTGAAAAGAAAATCCCTTCCTGTACAAAGGAAGTAATTTGTATTGAAAAATTGCTCTGACTTAAAAGTTAGTGTCATGTAGAAGGTTCATATAGCTCAACCTTAGGGCAGTCACCCCTTTCCTGTGTGCATGATGCCAACTGCAAATTAAATAGAACTTCTTTTACAGGGAGGAAACTAGAATGTGCCAGGGACTTGAACTGATATTAAACCTCAGCTTGTGATCTTCTGAATGGCTGATTTCTGACTTCATATGTGATGACTCCACTTATCACCTTCAATGTATCATCTTGGAAGTGGAATTGAGATAAGCAATGTCTAAAACTACATGTCTTCAATGATCATATTTAAACAGGAACTTTACCATTTGTTAAAACAGGTTTCTTAACAAAAACTTTTGTAATTTATTACTGTCTTTGTGGAACAATTGAAATAAAATGTGAGTATGCTACCAGAAGTCTGTGTGTTCTGAAGGTTTCGTGTTGAGGTACTTCCTGTGTGAAGGCTTTGTTTCATGGATGTAAGCACTTTTGTGCTGCCACACAGAAATATTCTCTTGCTGTGTGCAAACTTGATAAGATTAATCTTAAATTTACAAATCCATTGAAAGTGGCCCTCAGTATTTTATTCTTAATGTCTGGGTTTTCTGAATTATTTTATAACACGAAAGCACTAAGATCAACCAACCAACTCCTGAGTTATTTCATTAGGCTGGATGTGTTACATGTTCTCTACAAAAGGATTATCTCAAGCTGTAAAGAACAAGTTAGCAAGAATCCCATTACTTGCATATTTTAAATGAGCAAAAAGGAAAATGTTGCAGTATTCCACGTAAAGCACAATCAGCGGGAAAGTCCTTGAAGAGCAAGTTCAATATTGTTGACCAATTGGAAGCTTGTATTTCAGTTGCTTATGCCTCAGTAAACATTAAAAACATTTTCCTCAGTGGTAGGTCTTTACGTAAAATGATTAAATGCTTTGTATTACTAGCCAATTTTCCTTAGAATGCACAAGCAAAAATACAAAATACAGTCAGAAGTAGCTGTCAGGTGCTCCCCACTGCCTACACAGGAAAGTGAGTTAGTGTGGATTTAGGACCAAACATGTATATGTATACACACACAGAGTCAGATTTATCCCCCATTGAGTTGTTATCTTTATGTAAACATGCACTGAAGAGTGAGTAGTGATTTCCTCTGTTAGTGGCCTGCTAGGCTTACTTAAGTCTGCTTCTTTTTCTCTGGACTTGCATTTTATTAAAAGACAAAACTGAATTTGAAGGGTATACGGGAGCATTTTCTCTTCATTATATTAAACCTGTCTGACAACTGTCTAGATCCTACTATGAGAAACAATGAATCATTTTCCTGCAAGTCTTGTGAGTTGTTATATAGACCTGCGTCCCCTGCAGTCATGCTCAAGGACTAGGTTTTAGTCTATTTGGTCTTGCGTTATGTGATTGTGGTTTTATATCTGCCCTGTACGGGACTTCTAAATATTGCTTCTCTCAGGTTCAACATTAATTGATAGTATTCAGGATAGACTAATTTTTAAATGTTCATTCTTGTTTTCCTTAACCAGTAAGTTTGTTTACATTTGATAGTTTGGCATGATGTTTTCAGTGAGCTGCCTACACTTCCAGAACTTTCTGAAGGAATCAGAAGCTATCTTAAAATTAGGGTTGGAAATCCTTTCCAGATTTATTTGGCATGCATTAAGTGGCATTAAATTCCATCTTCTGCTCTGTCCACAAGGATCTTGTCAGAATTGAAATCTTTTGGGATCTGCAGCCAGCGTTCTGCTTTTTTTTGATGCTAAAACCAAAAAAATATGCCCTTGAAGGACCTATCTGAAGCCTGAAAATAATGCTGCTTTGAGTCATGCTCTGTGCTTAGGTGCTGACTCCTTCAGGGACTTGTCAAGATTTTTTGAGACATTACTATTCTTCAACTTCCTGCTGTGCAGTTGGTGATAAAAAGTACTATTAAATCCTAATGACTTGGTCCTTATTCACAATCTTTTTTCTAAAATGTTTCAAGCAGGTCCTTGTTCATTCATTCCTAGTCATTAAAAGCTTTTGGGAGGGAAGCTGTGNCAGAAACAAATAATTAATTTGACTTTTGTGATGCCACCTTCAAATTCTCAAAGGCTCCTTTCATACTTGTTTTTTTCTTGGACTTGCAAATTCCTTTGCGGACTTCCTGTTTCTGATCAATTTGGAGAGATTTAATGTTCTTTTATCATTATGCTACTTAAGCATTTCTGCTGCTTCAATATCCTACAAATTTAAGCTGGGTTATTACTTTTTGGTTTGATTTGGCATGACTTGCAGTGTCTGAAAGACAGCTGCACTGTGGAACATGTTCTTAGTTTGGGAGTGTGAAATACGTGTTTTTGTGTGTTATATTTTGCCCATGAGACTGTCTTTAAGCAACATTTTATCTGTTTAGCTAAACTGCACCCTTTTTGGCTGATAGTTGCTGGTAGTGTTAAATAGTTTCATTGCTCACTACTTTCTTTCTCTTTTTTTTCTCCCTTTCTTAAAAGGAGAAATTTATTTTAAATTCCAAGAAGTTCAAGATAAAAATGTTTTAGGATCTACTTCTTTCCATCACTGACAGATGAAGTTTTGTTTTGTGTCAGTCTGTCTGATACAGAAGATAAGCTTTTTCACATTAGTGGCTTACACAGTGTACTGGCAATATGGTGTACAAGTTTTCCAACAGAATTGCTGTGTCAGTGAAGACCTAATTTGCTGCAGCTTTTAATAAAATATCCACATGCCACTAAGTGATGATGTTGCATGTAAGGTCCAGTCTTTGCTGTTCTCTCCTTATGACATACCTCGTCAGAAAGGCTGATGGAGAGAGAGACAATCCATTCCAGACATGATCAACTATTTTGATTTCACACAGCACAAATGGATTAAGTTTAGTGGTTTTAGTACATCTGGAGAGAGATCAAGACTGAAATAAAGTATATTTGGGACTCAATAGTGAGCACTTAATATTTCACTTATCTTGTTCTTCAGGTAACTAGGCAATCTTTAGGCATTATTCATTAAAAACTGAATTGGTTTAATGCAAAATCCAAGCAGAGATTGTATTTTCAATTAAAGAAGTATCAAGTTATTTCATGTATTTATAGGTCTTATGATTTTTTACATTTGACTTTGTTATCACTCGGGGCCATTACTCTATGCTGAAGGCTCATTTTGAAGAAACACTGGTTGGAACAATAAATCACTTGAGAGTACTTTGTTCTAAAACTTCTCATGAGTAGTTATAAGAAATCTCACCTCAATTAACTTTGGCTTGTTCCTTTTCCATCTACAGGCTTTTTGAAATATGAATACATCAGTTCAGGCATCACTCACCTAATTAAATTTATGATATATCGTGTTAAAGTAGTGAAGCAAAACAAAGGGATTAGTATTAGTGTAGGTATTTTAAGTATGTCTAAAACTGATAACTGTTGGTGTAAATTCACCCTGACCACTGCCTTGGGGGACTGTATGCTTGGGGCTGCCCAGTTCACTAAGAAACCTGGTTTGTATCAATGCTATTCTCTAAATAGAGTTATAACATTGCAATTTTCCCTTTTGTTTCTCATTGGAAAAGTGAAGGCTAATAGAAGAAAAAAAGCCAGGTTTGCCTGAGAATAGTCAAGGGCTACCTGGTTGTCTTACAGCATCACAGATTTTTGTCATCTAGCCTTGTTACAGGCTAAATGACATGAACTCAGATCCTGCCATTTTATAGAGTTTTGTATGTATGGTTTGTACAACGGATCATATGAGAGTTTGAGGGGAAATAAAGATGGACGAGATCTATAATATAGCTTTTAATCTGTACATTTCTGTTTATTCTGGTTATTGACAGCAAATTTAGGAATGCTGCTTTGGCTTTTCATTGACTAAATCTGCAAGAATGTTAAATATTAATCAAGACCAAAGACTGTCAGACAGAAGGGGGGGTATTTACATATCTATGGTTTTATTCCATGTTCTAGCAGACAGTTGAAAAGCATGATATCTCCTATTTCACTTCCTTTTGGTAAGTAGTTACAGCTGATGAGACTCAGTGATCAAAGGAATGAAAATAAAAAAAAAACCTGAAAAATGAAATGTACTTAGGGAGTAACGTGCTTAGCCCTATACTGTTTTCGTTACACAGGGCTACATGCAACAATATTTTATTATATTCTGTGCAAGGGTCTGGCAAGACATAAAAATGCTTATTCCCTTTTTTTTTTAATTGGGAACAGTTGTTGGGAGACCACCTTGAAAGTCTAGAATACCCTAAGAGTTTTAGTTCTGAGGAGGTTGACAATACCAGAACCTGTGTGATTTCTATTTAGTAACACAGATTTGTGATCTCTGGAGTTTGTATTGCAATGCTTTTAATAATCCAAAGTTTGGATGCAGATATTAATTTATATTAGAGTTTATGACTATGATTCTTTATGTCCTTACATTAATAAGTCATACTTACTGATCTTCAGTAGGAAGGGTGGAGATAGTAATAATGGCTGCTTGTTGTCTGAGCTAATCTTTTGAGTTTATGGTTAGTTACCTGCATCTTCCTTATTTTTACTCATGCTTTCCCATAATGTTACAGCCATATCTGACATTCTAGAGCTCTTGGAAAGAGCAAAATAGGGTGAGAATACAGGCTGAATGCACTTGTACCTAAGAAACAATGTGTGTGCATCTTGAGTATTTTGGTTTAGATCAATGCAGGCAGATGTTTCCTACCAAACTACAGTTTATGAGATGGAAAAATCCTATATTTGTGGTTGTGATGTCTCAGCTCTAAATAAGCCACATTTTTTTTAAACTTTCTACTTTCAGTTTCAAATGCAACTCTCACTGGATTTTTCTACACATCGATACTTTTACTTACCTCGGTAAAGGTGAACTGACATTCATTGCTGCAAAGATGACCTTTTCTGTTCAGTGGATTTTGATGCAAGGCTCAGAGATTTCCTCCTATGCCCTGATAATTAAGTTCTACAGCTTTGACTCAATGCATAAATAATGAACACTACAGTACTGAAAATACTCATACTTTTTCAGATAGGAAAGTATAGAAGCTGTCAACAATGACTTGCCATCTTCAGATTGTACTGTATGTGTTTACTGTAACACACAAAAGTTATTTAACTGAGAACTCTAGTATGTGTATTTCAACTTAAATATACTTTATTAAAATCCCGAGCAGGAGTAACTGGAAATAGGCAGAGGTCTAGGAAGAGCAGTGTGTGTAAGACCAGGGGATGAAAAAGATGCTAGGACTTTCTGCTTTTAGCACTACCTGGATTTGGAGACAATAGGTCATGCAGATCTCTAGTTTATTTAGTGTGGTAGCAAGTGAGGTCGTTTTATTTCCTTCTCAGTGGTATATTGCACACCAAAGCAGAGGTGGTATGTGGCCTATGATTCAGAGTGCTTTTCAG